ATTCATGTTCAGATTCGTACAGATTCAGATTCGTGTTATTGGTAACGGTTACCTACTGTTATAACATTACATTTGCTATCCTTCTAATACTTCAGTCATCACTGAGAAAACTCAAATAATATAACTGAAAATTATGTGAAAACTGCTAATATTTAAAAAAAATGTGTACACAAAATTATTTAAAGATAATAATTATAATAGGAAGGATAAATTAAGAAATAATTGTCTTTCTTTAATACACTTCTTTAAGGAGAGTGCCGAGGAAAGCTGAACTACTGCAATTTTTTCGAAATTCGAGAGCGACATTATTTACTCTTAGCAAGCTTAGCTCTATTGGAGCAAAAATAAATAAATACATTTACAAAATAAAATAATGGAGCCGTTATTGAGAAAATCTTGTTGTCATATTTTGTAAAAATTATCACTGCTTACTCAAAATTACGTGAAAACATTCATATATTCTAAAAATTGTGAAGATTAATACAAGAGTTTATGAAAAACAGCTTTCATGAAGCAAAGGAAGGCATCGTGAGGAAGCAGTTTAACAACGAGGCGTAATCGTCGTCGTGAAGTGCCCGGTGGCTGCGCGCGCGGCGGGGAAGCGTCCGCACCGCGATGGCGGGTGGAGGGGAAAGGGAGGGAGAAGGGGAAGGGTTGCGGACGGCGACCGGCGGCTGCGCGGAGATGTGCCAGGTTGAGCGCGCGCGCGCACTCGCGTAGGTGCTGGGGACCGGGAGAAAGTGATCCGCCTTTACGCGGCCGCTTGGCCATATAAGCGAGTCGCGGCGCGCGTTCCGTCTCGTGCACGCTCGTCGGCTCCTTGGCTCGCTCCGCTCCACTCCACTCCGCTCCGCTCCACTCCGCCCCACTCCCACGGCGCGACACGCGACCGCTCGCTGAAGCAATCGGCCCCCAAACTTGGAGCGCCCGCGCGAGGTGCCAGGACTCGCATGTGCCAAGCGCCCGAGGTTTCGGCTCATTGTTCGTAATTGATCCTTATCGCGGCTTCCGTTTCCTTCTGACTGCCTGCCTTCCTCGTCGTCGCCTTTCTGTTCCATCTGTAGCGTTCTGTCGTAATTTTAATGGGCCGGGTCTCTTAGAGGCGTCTGTTTCCTTATGTCCTGTTTAACCTTCGGCCTTTCGCTCTCCCACGTGAGGGTCTTGAGTTATAGTCAATCGACTGTCTGGGGTATTTATGCGTGGACGCCATTTTCTCTGTCGTCTGGCATCCGACTGTATCGTGGATTTTACATTTCGCTGTTTTTGCATTGCCATTCCACGCGACATAAATTATGTTAAGCGAAATACCGCGTTTCTATCTTTTCTGTGAGCATTTCGTGAAGGTGTAGTTTTCGAAAATGATTAAAGTGCAATAGTGATGAAATCAATAGCAATTATTTCTCATTATTTTTTTAAATTATGCCATTCACGGTGAATTTTCTGAAGATGTATCAGCATAGTTTATCTCGCTGTTCTTCTCATGAGAATGCTCCCTTTGCGCCTTCAGTTTAGCAAACATTGTGTCATCGATGGGTGTCTCTACACTTTAGCGTCTCCACCGTATTTGAAAAGTTCGGGTTGGCATCTTTATGACATGACTCCTGACCTTGGCCCTTGCTTGTTGGAGAATTCAGAGGTGAGTGGTAGGAACCTGGTGACGCGATGAGCTAATCCTGGAGAATAGAAAGTAAATTGGGACCTTGGCAGAGCTGAAGCTGTTCCCTATTAGAATTTTTTTTATCGATTTTGCTAGAATTTTTCTGCATTTTTTGTTTGTATCATGCGTGATATATTTTTTGAGAAAAGTACAAATCTAGGCTCTTAATATTTATTATTAAAAAAATGTTTATAGGAGCACACATTTTTCTGTTGCTTAGGGCTTATATCTAGGGACAATTTTCTGCTACTTACACTTGAGAATACGCTGCAAACATGTGAGAATGAATTGTGATTTAGCGTAACAATAGATATTTACTTTTACAATTACTTATGTTTTGTCCTGAGACATGAATGAAAAAGCAGGAACAACATCACTAATGATGTATGAGTGTAAGTCGATGTCACATGCCCATATATCAAGAGATGACCAAATTTCGTGAATCGAAACCACCTCTAAATAGGTAGAAGAGTTCTTACGTACTCTGAAGTATCTAACGAATATATTAAAAGGCTTTACTCAAAACAGCCATATTTTAATAAATAGACTGATGATTGTGAGCTTGTCTTCCATGTTAGGGTATATATATCTGCAATAACACTTCCCAAGGAAATATTCAATTTCATATATTATATTTCAATCAATTATATATTTTATTTAATTAAATATATAATTATATATTTGTAAGATTTCTTGTATATCTTTTTTTATTAACTCTGATGATGATCGCTACGCGAGATCTTAAGCTATAAAAATCGTGATACCTAGATATATTTTTTTCTGAATTCCCAGTATTAGTGAGAAATTTCGCATTTCATGTTCTCGCTATCCTTTTCTGATTTTGAATAAATAAAAGAAATGATCTCCGTAAACTTAATATATTTATTTAGAGAGCCAGCTTTCGACGGCTTTTGTGCCATCATCAGCCTCGCTGTTGTGACAAAATCGGGAGACAGTATTCTGATTTTATTGGATTGGGTAACAAAATGCGGCGTAACTTACGACGTTTTTCAATAACACTTCATTCGAGTTTCCAGACTTCAGTTTCTCAATTATCACATCAACAATTATCACATAATTATCAAAAAAATTAGCATCACGCTTAAGGTTTTCTTATTGCCTCGTCAAATCGCCTTCCTCCATTATGATTTTCATACCAAATTGGAATGTACTAATTGTCGCATTACATACTTACTTCTATAATAATAAATTATAATATAATAAAATAAATAATTATAATAAATAATTAATAAATAATAATTATAATAAATGCTTTTAATATTTTCTTATTATTTAAATATGCGGTATCAATTTTGTTTACTTGACTTGAATTTAATAATTTTATTAAAACACTGTTACTTTGTTATAACTTTTGATAGATTAGATCCTCAAACAGATAGAGATTCTGCTGCTAGAGATAGGGACTCATAGTATAAATGATGCATTGCTACCGAACATTTCCTCTATAATTAATCATATTGTTTTAATTCAATCATTGAGTTCGATAATTGAGCCTAAACAATGAGTTTCGCCACACAAGGGATCCTTAACGTTTAATTTAATCATTAAGTTGTAATTGCGTCGCAACATGAAAACAAACATTAAATTGCAGCATTAAGATCGATTTTGTTTTCTAGCTTTGATTCTCAATAGAGTCCGGTTGCGTAATCGCAACATTGGGTCGAATTAAATCATTCCGTTAACACTTTGAGTCGTTTACAGTTTTGACATTGGCTTTGAGATTGTGTTCTAACGCAATGGCAATCGTTTTAAAGTATCCAACATTGCTTTTCTTCGGAAAATGAATACACGGAGGAGTATATGTGTATTGAAAAGAAATATTATTTGACTGAAAAAAATGTTCATTTATAAGTGATGTTTCCTTCTTTTTTACATTTTTAAACCACCATCAATCTTACATTTTAAAATTATTACTAACAATATCGTAGTAACTAAAACAAACACTCGTATTTGTAAATTTGAAATTCCAAAACGCATTTGTTTTAGTGTCTGTTTATAAATTCTTTAAGTGTTTCAGTAGCGTGTAATGCAAATCGAGTGAAACACATTAAGCACATTGATTTGTGACGAGAGGGGAAGAAACCTGCAACACGCAATTCCACTTTAAACCAAGTTTCACCACAGTGTATGCATTGCATATGAATGAAACATACGGATGCGAATAATTCAGAGGCCTCATTTCCATACGGAAATATTGAAGTAAGCGTACAAATGCATTGAAAAAGAAGACCCGAATTTCGAAACAAGCCGTCAGTTGATGTTAAAGCCCCCCACCTGTGACCATGGCTGCCGTGACGCGTGGCTTGTGAAATGCCCACAAACACTCCGACTTCCTCTGTGCACCGCGTCGACCTTGGCTGCTCGCAGTGGTCAGTGCCTGATTAACAATCATGCACGCCCCACGCTGCTAGTACTCCCAACACCATTCATAGATTTTTTGTTCTTCAAGGTAAGGTTTCTTTGCTGAATCAGATTGGTCATAACTCGTGTCTAATCGTAAAAAACGAAATGCATTGTAATCAATAACAAGGGCTTCAATTATTCGAATTTCGTTTGTTCTTCATATTCTTTAAACGCGCGTCATTTTCTCATATACAATTTCCTTGTAAGGATATATTAAACATTGTATCAATATTGTGTGATATGAGTCATTCGCATTTGCAGGGACAGCCTTTTTGCACGCCCCAACAATTCACGCCCCCCTCTTTCTCTTTGCAGCCCGGCGTTGAGCGTCTGCCTTTTCCAGCGTTTTTCTTGTTTTGTTTTATTTTTTATTTTTATTTCCTTATTTTTCCTATATTTTTTATGTTTTATTTTTATTTCCTTTTACAATCTGCGACACACGAACTTACGCCGTGGCAATACGCCATTTCCATAGAGAGGCCATTCTTACAGAGCATACCACTAGGGCATCCCCATAAGAAATATCTGTAGGCCATGTCCATTGCCAATGCTCATAGGTCATTATTCTAAAAATGTACATGTTATTTTTTTAATATTTTAATTTCATGTCTTAAACTAAAGTAAATGAGGAATAAATAGGAGTATTACAATGTAATGTGAGTATACATTTGAGTAAACATTATAGTGCCTTGTTTTTACTCATTTTTTGACACGAAGTAATAGGAAATAGGCTGATCATTTAGCTTCCATTTTGTGGCGGCCCTCCCACGCGTCATTGACGGCACGTCGCCCCGCGGCTGATGAAAAGCCGTGGCCTATTCGGTAACGCGGCGGGGCGGGGCGGGGCGGGCGCAGGGCCAGCCTTGCCCTTCCGGCGCAGTGGCCGTGGGCGCTCTCCCGCGGCCCCAATCACTTTATAATGCGCCGCAGAGGAAGCGCGCCGCCCAGCGCGGCCCAGTCGGAACCCCGAAATCCGAATGGAGGCAGCGGCGGCCTTGGGGGTCGTGATCTGACTCAGCCGCCGAGGCGACGCGGCGCGACGCGGCGCGACGTGACGTGACGAAGTGCTTGTGTTGTTGCGCAGCGATAAACAAGCATTACTTGCCAAACACTCTGCTTTACGTGAAGTGGGTTCCTGCTTCAAAGACGCGATTTTCTTTCTTTTTTTGTCTCTCTTTTCGGGAAGGGACCTTTTTGTTTGAGGGACACAACGACTTGTAAATTTTGAGAGGAAGAAATTTACATGCTGTGGTTGATTCTATTTAATACAGTGTGAGTATGTGCCTTGTGTTTAAAAAAAGCATCAAACGTGTTTTTAATACTCTTGAAGATAAATCATCGTATTGTAAAAATACCCTCGTATCATTTCCCATCATGTAAAACACAGAATACTTCTCATCGATAGATACAATGTATTGCTATTCATCAAGTAATGCGTACTATCCCTGTGTTTTACTTGAATTGTTTTTAATTGTGAGTTACGAGTGTATGTTATTATTTCACTTGCAGAAAAATGCACGTTCGACGTTTTAACATGTTTAATTTACTTATAAATGCGTTTTGTATATAAAATATTATGTACGTATGGGTTTTAAAGAAATTTGTAAGAAGGAACGTGTAACACGATCTTATATAAAACACAATATTTTCCACCAGTGGACAATATGCGTTTTGATTGGTTGTTTCTCATATGTTATTGAGATTGTAGGTAAATTACGCAAATATCACAAATAATGAATAAATAGATTTTACAAGATCTTTGTCCTAGAAGCAGGACCGAGGGTAGGTGGGTGCTGGCGGTTCGACGATGAGGGACCAATGAAGCCCAACGCGTACCATGCTCTTCATTATAATTTGAACACATATTTAATTTTATCGTAGATAGTCTTTTTCAATTTTCCAAGTCACAGTCCGTACTGTCACGTTCTGATACATCATGAACCCGGAAAAGCGCACAAAGAGTCATTATGAACAGTCGAGTGCCGAATGATCCATCACGACTTATCTACATATATCAATATAATTGATTGTAAGATATAATGTTTACATTCTACACACGTTTGTATAACGTTTTATGTCTTCCTTGTAATGGTATCCGGATTAGCAGCGGATCCGGACGGGCGACTGTGCCCAGAATGGGTATACATCAAAACGCTACCATTTACTCGCTGTTTTTGAGTATATAAAAATATAGAATGCTATTGTGTTGGGAAAAATTAAGGATCTTCTTGAAATTGTAACAATTAAATAAAATGAAAAGAAGCAAACTCTGAAATTTGCTACTTCGTGCCACTGAAGACCGCACAAAAAATATATGAGACTAATGGAAGTTAAATCTGTCAGATCAACATTAAAAGTTCATCGACATTTTTATTATAGAAAAGTATCGTTAGGAATTAGAATTTATCTAATTCGTTCCCACTGGTGTTCACTCTATTTTTCGCCCTGATCTATCGAACATAAACATTATTTTGTGCATAAAATATTATAAACGTTTTTAAAAGTATATGTTCAATGTAACACTGAAACACTGTGATTCGTTTCGAATTTTAATCAGGGAGGTAGAAAAATGCTTGCTGAAGGTGTTTGCTTGGTGAATTCCTAAGGAGAAAGTTGGTCTTACCAAAGAAACGAGAATCTCCGAACGAAGACACAGATTTGTTAAAATTGAATGAATTCTCACGATTGACACAATAATTGTGCAGTCAATACTCCCCCTCAAAATAGAAATCACTTCAATAAAATGGGTTTGTGAAATCATTTGTAACAGTAACTCAGCCTTTATAATAATTCCTTTCACTGGACCATCACTCACGTTTAATTGTGTTTATCTACCGCTTTGAATCTCATCGAGACTTTCAACGTTTTATGTTGGCTTCATGATTGATGATTGCGTGAAACGAATGGTGTAATGAAAGACGCGAAGAAGTAATTGTTTCCCATCGTCTTCTGCTTCGTGGAAGAATAATGAACATTCATTTTCGTTCCCGGAAATGAATTATTGCTGCGTTACTCCCTAGTAGCTCGAGAGGTGACGGAAAAAGGAGATGATGCAAGGGTAACAGTTAGACTTTGCTATTCGGTAATTGATTATCTTGTCGCGAATTAAAATATATTACTCAACATGAAAGGTAGTATTTTTACTTTTGCTTGGGATATTTTTTAATTGCTTTCAATTTAATATTCAATATTTTGTGCATTTATCAACGATAGTTTATGTACATCGAAATTTCTTCTCTAAAATAATGTTTTAGCATTCAATTTTTCCCAATTATCTAAAACAATTGAAAACGTCTTCTCTGATGTTAAACGAGTTCAGTTACAGAAACTAGAGTAAGATGTTAAAGAAACCAAAGCTTTCATCATCATTAAAATTAGAAAAAATCACTTGTTTGCGGCTATCCAATGTGATGGAGATATTTTCTTTAGCGTTTTATCATCTATGCACTCCTTTGTTTCTTAATTCATTGTGGCTGCGAGTTAATTTCTCTTATGAGAGTAGACATTAGGAACCTATTAAACTCGCTCATCCTAATTTTCCTAATGTGCCTCGTAAGTAAAGGTACACGACCCAGCACTCTAAAGAAAGAAATGCGCGATAATAAAATCAGTGGCGAGAGAGGGATCTGCTGTGTAAACTTCCATAAAATTCATAAATGACCCTGAGAATGCAATTTAAACGCATTTCTTAAATATTTTGTTTCAGGCAAAGCGTTCGTAAATTTAGAATAGATATTCAACATTCTCTTAAACTTACTGGTTTTAGCTTATACTCGTAAATGAATGGAATGTAACACATTCTCATTTTATTATCTCTAGTTTAATCTTTACCTGGTTTTAATTGTTCTATTAACAGGTTTCTTTGTTTTAACCCAAGCGATGTGACATGGAAGTGCTTTACGATGTAAAATTTTGGTAATCTTTCGTCATTAATGAAACAACAAGGCAGTGGTTGGCACTCCCTATTTCGTTTCGTTTTCTTAGAATCGGAGAGGCAAGTTTTTTAAGGCAATGGAAACACATTAATACCCGTGGCTACTGCGCATCTGGATGTCACCACGCCCTATGCATATGTTACGAAGTTTCCTTGAGACAAAACCAGGCGGCCTTCGAAAAGTCGCAGAAGTACTATTCTTATACCGTCCGCACGCCAGCTCTGTGTTGCTGCTCCGCAGCCCCTCCCAAATGGAGTATCGAATTTTCAACCCAAAATGCGCACACCACGCTGTATTTTTCTTTGTACGGGATACAAGAACCATGAAACACGAAAATACTTTGTATTTTATTACGCCACATGTATTTTCTTAAGTTAAAAATGATAAAAAAATTAAAACTTCTATTATTGGTATCGTTATGTCTATTATCGATTATTACTATCATAATCATGTCTTTTCATATTTAATTTGCTCCGACGTTTTATTTTTAATTCTCTTACACAGTTATACGATGATCCATCAAGTGTTGATTAGGGTGTGACCGGATAGGATATTTGGTAACAAAGAAATTTGAGGCATCTACACAACCAAATATCGTTTTTTTTGTTGCTTGAAATGAAAGGTAGTGGGTCACAAATGTGTTGTCGCTTGCTATTACTAACCACATTTACAGTGTAAACTCAGTTTTAATAATATATCTTAAAGCTAACATAATGAACGTCATCTGCCACCAGGTGTTCATTACGTAATTTCCTATACAAACTTATTCTCGCACGGTGTTTTGAGCCCTCATTGTTGATTATTTTTATGCCCTGTTGTTTATTTTTATGCCAGGACTATTATTTCAAATCTGTAGCTCGTTTTTTGTGATAAGACAAAATGGCAAAAATAGGCATCAGACGCTAAAATAGGCAAAATGAAAAACTACTAAAACATCTCCAGAAGCACAACTAGTAATTCCTATTGTCGATAGTTATGAAATAGTAACAATAACAGGACATTTTGTCAAACGTCCAGGCTTTATTTGATCACTGTTGTTAATAAACATGTAGTGAGAAATTTCATTTAAAGAAGTTTCATAATCGACATTTGTCCCTTATTAGTAGGCAACGCCTCTTGCACTAATGTCCGGCAGATCGCGTTCTGACGCAGTCAAAGGGTTTTCATGTTGCTTCTTGCATCTTCTCATCATTGTATGAGAAGTTCCCTAACAATAAGAGAGAAATGTCGCTTGTAACGTCTGTAAACTAAATATCCTACCACATATTCATCGGTAAAAATTGTTATTTTTTGACTCTCAATTCACATATCTAGAAGTTTTTAGCATTTATTCTGTAACGCATTACACTAGGCATTAATCAGGTGATGAATGTGCAAAGCGATTTGAGAATTTCCAAGCCGACCCGTAGGGTGAGAGTGACACGAGTGGGGTGATACCCATGTGCTTCCAGTTTCTATAAGGCTCAACTGCTACTTGCAGTCGAGTGAGACTGAATACTTAATAATTATCATATACATTTAAATGGAAGAAATATTCATCTTTTAAGATGAAGGTTCCACTGCATTTACTGATTATTTCAATTATAAAATGGATTGTAAATTTTAGTTGTATATAATAACTAGTGCTGCTTAAACAGCTCTCACTTTCTAGCCCATAGTTTCATGCAAAATTACGCGAAAATACTCACATTTTCGAAAATAACATGGCCTTGAATCTGCTGTTCGGTTCAGCCGCTAGCGTTGGTCATAGAAGTACAAACGGACAGACGGACGTTTCCACGTTATTCGATTTTTCGATATCAAGGACCAACAAAACATGTATTCTGGTACACTACGAGTTAGAGGTTTTTTTTTAAATTTAGCAACACGATTTATCCACTTTTTCGTTACCAGGGCCCTGTAATAAGTGATTTCTGCTGAAAATTCAATGATTTTTTGCGTAGCATTACATAACTTTTTACTCCGTAGGGAGAAAGAAAAAGGTGCGTGCCACAATCTACTACTTGAGACTGTCTTCTTTGTTTGCCTCCCTGGGCTAACGCCTCGGCGCGTGCCGTGCTGTGCGCAGGGTGGTTCGTGCGCCTGTCGTCGCGCGGGCGTCCGGCGGCGCGGCGCTGCGTTCCAACGTCGCTGCAGCAGCTGGTGGCGGCGCGGGTGCCGGCCTTCCTGTCCGCAGCGCGCGCTGCCGGCCTACCGCCTCTCGCCGGCGGGCTCCGCCGCCGCCGCCTCCGCACCGCCCTTTGCCGCCGCTGCCCGGGGAGCTGCACTTCGCGTCGTCGGCGGCGGCGCCGCGCGGCGCGCAGTACGTGCGCACGTCGCTGCGCGCGGGCTCCGTGCTGCGCCTGCTGGGCGTGTTCGAGGACCTCAAGGCGCCCTCGTCGCCGCCGACGCCCCACGGGCTCACCGTGGCGCAGCATCAGCAGCAGCAGCGCCGGGCAGGGTCGGGGCTGCTGGCGCTGCTCGGCCGGCGCGCCTCCGCAGCGGCCGACAAGTACGCGCAGTGCGTCTGCCCCAAGGGACAGGTGAGATCCATGCGCCTTCTCTCGGATAAATCTCCTCCCTCTCTGACAAAAAAACCTTTGAGACAAAATTCTTCACTCAGTCGTCTCTGGGACAACAGTCGTCTCTCGGTCGTATTTTTAGTATCTTTATTTTTTGATAAATTCATATTATTAATTGTAAAGATTGACCAAATTAGAATACAATCAAAATAAAATATTAATATAACATCAAACGTAATAATTTAAAATGTATCATTTTCAGCACTATTCTTATCTTTGCTAACACCAGTGCCTTCTGCATTAGTGTGTATGTTTAGACTAAAGAATAAATCCTAACATACGTGCATTAAAGAAATTGAAAAGGTCTTGGGGAAGCTCAAAATCACACCAGCAGATATTACTGAGCGGTCTCCAATTAGGACCAAACTCCCATGATTTTCCCAGGATTTGAGAATAAGTCAAAAAGGAAGACAGGGTCCATTTGAACTGATAGGACAGAGCAACATGAAGCCAGAATGAAAGAGATATGGAAGCAAAGAAAACAAGAAAGAGGGAGTCGTTTGAATAAGCGTAGTCCATACTGGCTCATTCGTAAAGAAAAATTCATATACGTGGATATGATAAATTGCTTTAATAGTATTTTCCTTTAAAGTGAGTAACAAGTAAATTAAACTCTGAGTGATTTTCCTTCTCAAATATATTCTCAGAATACATGATATTTTGCTCGGTAATAATCATTGAATAATCTACTTCCAACAGTAGCCATTCTCCTACTTATCCCTTAATCTTAGCTTACTGTGTATCTGCTCTACCATAAGACTTTCTGATATTTGCATTGACCTCCATCTTATTTCATCTTTCCTTCAACACAGCCAACAATAGCTATTATTAATAAGATTTCTTGCATTCTCAAAATACATACTCTATCCAGTACGTTTCTATCACTCATAAACGTCTAGGTTTCCAAATTGACTTACATTTGTATGCTTTACATTTCAAAACATCTCAGGAGACCAGACGAGAACTTAGAGCTTCACTCGGTTGGGGCAGTACCCGCATGGAGGGAGGGAGATACCTGGAGGAGGGAACCCGCAAGTTGAAGTTCAGGCCAACGTCGTCTCTCAGGTTTCAACGGGGGAGGAAGGCCGTTTCCTCCGTGGATGTACAATTAGCATTACACTTTCGAAACAATGACTATTGTCGACTCCTCAAAATCAATGTTTTCTCACTCACTTTTGTTGTTGACCCTCGGTGCGTTTAATGTAGTTCATCCTGCTCCGAAGCCTTTTTCATCGCTCGCAGCGTCCTAAAGATAGTTGCGTGTGTTTTGCAGGTGGTGTTCGTGCGCTGACGGCAGCGGGCTGTTCTTCGCCGGTGCTTGCTGGCGGCCGGGCCACAGCCCGGCCCGGGCCGAGGGCGCGGGCGCCGTCCCGGCCGGCGCACCGTGCCGCGGCGCGCGCCGACGCCCCTCCTGGCCCGCGCCGCCGCCGCTCGCCGTGCGCCTCGTCGCCGGGCCCTGCCGCACCCGCCTGCCACACGCTTCACAGGTGCGATACAATCACGCGCACACGCGCGCTCAGTGCCTGCCCTTTGGCCCGCCCTCTGGCCCGCCCTCTGGCCCGCCCTCTGGCCCGCCCTCTGGCCGCCCTCTGGCCCGCCCTCTGGCCCGCCCTCTGGCCCGCCCTCTGGCCCGCCCCTCTGGCCCCCCCGCCCTCTGGCCCGCCCTCTGGCCCGCCCTCTGCCGCCCTCTGGCCCCCCTGGCCCGCCCTCTGGCCCGCCACTCTGCCCGCCCTCTGGCCCGCCCCCTGGCCCGCCCTCTCTGCCCGCCCTCTCGGGCCCGCCCTCCTGGCCCGCCCTCTGGCCCGCCCTCTGCCCGCCCTCTGCCCGCCCACTGCCCGCCACTCGCCGCCCACTCGCCCGCCCACTCGCCCGCCCACTCGCCGCCCACTCGACCGCGCCACTCGCCCGCCCACACGCCCGCCCACACGCCCGCCCACATCGCCGCCCACACGCCCGTCCACTCGCCCGCCCACTCGCCCGTCCACTCGCCGTCACTCGCCCCGCCACTCGCCCGCCCACACGCCCGCCTACTCGCCCGTCCACTCGCCCGTGTGTCCAGTATAATTCATAGTGCATTATGGTATCTAGATATTTTATCAGTAATTGAGTAATAAAGTGTGGAACTATGCCATGTGAAAATGATAGATTCACATTTGGGGAGGGGAGCAAAGGGGGTAATGGTAAGGGTGTGTACAGGCGATCTGTTGCTGCTGGGAGAGCAGGAAGGAAGATGAGATGATGAGATATTTAACATTGTTGTGGAAAAGGTATTGTTTTTTTTGTGCAGAGTGAAAGCTGAGACAGAAAGGGTTTGAAGATAATTAGTTTGAGAGTGGGCTGAGGAAATGCCATGGAGGCGAGGTTTTGTATAATTTATATTTATGTTGATACGAGGATTTTTTCTGGGTTATGGTGGTATTTGATTTTCATGTGTGAATAATGAAATTGGGGTCCTATGCAATGGGAAGCGAATAGATTGTGATATTTGAATTTTATTATGATACGGTTATGTCAATGTTACACGCAATCACTCCACTCTGAAACCGGCAGAGAGAGAACTACGAACGATTTTAGCAATTTCTATTTTACGTTGAAGATATACACCACCCCCTTTATTGGTACATTTCGAAAACAGGCACTTACCAAAATGCAGAGAAGTTCTCAATCAATTAATCCGGATTATCGACGTTCTATTGTAGAACTAATTTAAATAAACGACATTCTAATGTAGAGTTAATCCGGTTGAGCATAGCTGTACAGTAGATTTCATCCGGATAATCGTCGTTCTACTGTAGAATTAATTCCAGTGATCATTTTTTCTATTATAGTGTTAATCCGGATGGTGGACGTTCTACTTAAGATTTAATCCTGTTGATCAACGTTCTGTTGTGGATTTAATCTAGATGATCGCTATTTTCTGTAGAGTTGACTCGGATGATCATTGTTCTACTGTAGAATTAATACGGATGATCGACGTTCTACTGTAGAATTCCTCCAGATAATCGACCGCCTGCAGTAGATTTAATTCTCGTGATAGACGTTCTTCTGTAGATGCAATCCCGATGAATGACATTTTGCAGTAGAATTGATGCACCATGGTCGACTTTCGTTTGCGGCAGGCGACCTGCTGCTGGAGGGCTTCGAGGAGGAGGAGGTGATCCTGGCGTGCGCGCTGCCGGCCGACTGGGCGTCTCCGCGGCGGCTGGGGCTGCTGGGGGGCCCGCCGTACGGCGCGGGGCCGGTGCCCGGGCTGGGGCCGGAGGCGCCGACGGCCGAGGCGGCGGAGGCGGCCGGGCTGCGCCTGCTCGAGATGGACGCGGACGCGCGCTTCCTGGTGGCGCGCGCGCTGCCGTCGGCCGACGCCGAGCGCCGCCTCTTCCACACGCCGCTGCTGCGCGCCGCGCTCGCCCTCTGCCGCGAGCGCGGCGACGCGTGGCGCTGCCAGGTCAGCCACTTGCGCACGCGCACGCGCTGCGGATTGTGGCAAGATAAAAACAAAAATAGCGTTGTAGTTGCTGGTGTTGAGAATATTTCTGATGAAGCTGCGTCGAGCTGGAATATACTACATACAGTGGATGTCGCTATGGCTTCAACATTCTTGGTCGACGCTCGACGCCGCCATGTGTTTTGTGCAGTAAAAACATCAGAGCTGGTTGATGGTGACGTGTTTTTTGTATCGATTCTTATTTCAATATTGTTGTCTTTTCGTTTACCTGTAGAATCTGTTTATGTGTGGTTAAATTAATAATATTCACAATGTCTTTAGTATGTTCGGTATGTAACTAAAAATAGAAGTAATCAAACCACAAATATATCATTTTTCGACTTTGCTTTCGTATTAGTGATCAGTTTAGTTGCTTGTTATTGCAGTAATAATTACTTTCAGGCGTTATGCTAAATGATATAACATTTCAACAGCTTCCTTTTTTTAAGTATTCGATGCAGGAAGCATGTGCTTTTAAGATTCTCAATTCGTTCTCCTCACATATTGCGATTTCGTATTTAAATGATTGGTTTATGGTCGTGGAACATGATTTATATAACGAGCGACCCACGTCCATCCGGCCGTAACCAGCAACAAACATAATGGTAAAATACTCTGTTTCTCCAGAGGGCTCTGCTTTGAGTTCAAAAAACATGGCTTCAATTTGTTGCAAAGATGGAGGTGCTTCAGCCACTCTATGTAGTATATTCTAGCTCGTTGTGAAGCTGATAAAATGACCCAAAATTGCCGTCCTCGATAGCCCAGGTCGCTAAGGCTGTAGGATTGCAATTGCCTCGGTTCGAAGGGTTGCGGGTTCGAATCCCGCCTCGGGCATGGATCCCGTCTCGGCTTGTGTTGTCCTTATGGGTCGTGTTCCCCCTACAGTTACCCTAATGTGAAAAAATCCCAATGCTCGCTAAATGACCTAGTAGTTAAAAAGCGAACTAAAAAGAACCCAAGATGTTGGTGCCGAGACATTAAGAAGGCATGTAGAATCATTGAGATTAATTTTTAATGCATAATATGATCACACGAAAGGGTGGGATATTGTTATTATGATGTGATATAGATTTCGTGTTATTATATTTGTAATACGCTAGCATTGTCATATGTACGAGTATCTTAGCGATAAGAGTTGTTGATCCTTGAAAGTTGAATAAACCAAGCATGTTTGAAAGACTTACGTCTTTTAATGTGGCAAATTGTTATTCACGCTAAAGCAAATTCAACATTAATTGGTTTATTATTTCGTGTTTCGGTGCGCGTCAACTGCGGTGGGCATTAGCGCCGTAAATGTAGTATTCTTTCCCTACTGATTGGTGAGATCCGTCTGTCTCCTACACGCCGGCTTGCGGGAGTTTTCTCCTACCAGGTTTCTCTCACGAGCAGGGCACCGCCCCAGCTGGGACAAGCTCAAAGTTCCTACCTGGTTTCCCAACATGTGTGGTAGTGAATAGCAAGTTTAAGTGTGGTAGTGTTTGCAAGGGGTGAAGATAAAACAAGGAATCTGAGGGAATAGATCGCGGCGGTCTTTGGTTCCCGTTCATTAGGGTACTGCTCCTGCATTCGCTTGGTGGTGATCGGAGAAATCATGGAAAGCTACCAACCAGGGCAGCCGTTCGCTAGAAATCTCCAGCAGACAGTGGCTGAGGATTCGATCTAACTATGTTCGTAGCTGGCGTTGAAAATCCACCACCGTTGCCATCCGAACCCTAGGACCTCTCAATCAGTATTCCACTGGAATAACTCAGAGGGGGACCGTTTTTATTGTGGATACTCAAAACCAACATACATCGACCCTTTGGCCATCGATAGTTTTTGCATAGATATTGTAAGGTACTTTAGAGCATCTTTCAGGGTACTTTTGAGCCTCTGCATAGATGCTATGCCTACTGAAATTCGCCAGATATAGCGGGCTACTTATACGTACGTCGAATGCTAATCGATCACTGGAACATGCTCTACGAAATATTTTCCTACCTGTGGAGAGAGTGCATTCTCATAATGCAGCATTATGTTAGTGGTGTATTTATAATTATATGTATAGATATAGAAAACGTTAAGGGTTTTCTTTGCGAATAGACTTTTCTACTCTGCCGAATTTTTTGACGTTTGTTTTAAATGTGTTATCAATAGTTATTACTAACAGATTTATAAACACTCCATTTTAATAAAATCGTAAAATTAATAGATTGAACGATCATCTGCCGTCATTTCTTCTTCGTCGTTTTCAAAATCTACTAAATTCCATGTAGTTTGTTGTCTTAGACATTTTTCGATTTACAATACAACAAGCAAAAGAAGAGAATGTTTTTTAGCTTGTTTTTCAGCTAAAAATTTAATGAGCGTCTTTAAATGCTAAGATTAGTGAGCGTTGGTAAAAGCAATGATTATTGGTTATTGATTATAATTAAGTGGGATAAATTACTTTTCTAAGTTACAACGGATGTGTAGGAGGATTTCCTGCTACAGTCCACTGCAACATACATGTACAAGACCTCGGTAAATATAAAACATTTCAAGTACATTTCAAAAATATATTTATGTAACTCTGTGTTCACAGAGAGTACTGATGGTGTTCCAGAATTTATAAATCTCTTAATTCATCAGTCTTGGAAAATAACTACTGAACGACTTGAAATTATTTTGGAGGTTGTCAGTTTTCCATAACGAACGTACGAGTATATAGTACTTCTCTGTTGTAACTTTACTACAATTGTTTCGTTTGTGCAATGCAATCGCAAGGGTTCAGATAGTCAAGGGCTCTGAAAAACCTCTTTCTCGACGTCACACACTATGAGTCACGTGTTTATTTCACACTACGCTACGCAAAAACTCTATTCACCTCTTCAAAGTTTCGTCGTCTGACAAAAGGGCCGATATCGACCCCGTTGGGAACGCCGCTGGTCTGGTGTACAATCCAAGATTCACTCTGACGTGCAGAAGGTAACTGGCTTCGACAAAAAAGCAGAAATAGATGTAATGCTTTATATTTTTATTGGGCGGTAGAGGGTGCGAGCTATAAAATGTGGTAGTTACGTAATGTAACTCACATAACGTCCGTAATTTGGCATATGGAAATACGTGTTAAAGTACAGTCAAGTAAGCTTTATGAATTACATAAAATGACTGAAGATATTCGGAACCATTTAGAATTAAAATTTTAAAAAAATAGTATCTCTAAATATTTACCAGCATGCCTCAAATTTCATATGTATTCATGTGTAACTCCGTTGAATCATCGTTAACACAGTGCTAGTTTTTCACCACTTAAGGTGTTAAGATTGAAGTAATTTTGAATGTAATGTCCTGCAAGAAGAATTGGAAATTCCAAGCCTAATAAGTCTAGAGGCCCTCCCTCTGAGTTTGTGTTTCCAACTCTAGAGTAATAAAAACTGGAATAATTTATGTGCAATGATTGATAGACATTTCCATTGTAATTTCATTCAAGAGATTTTTGTTAGAAATATTGGTTAATAGGGCCCCATGATCTTAAAATACCCCTGATCATGCAGATAAGAACTATAAATATTAGGCTCGCGCTTCGAAGCAATTCATCAAAATACACAATAATTACAAAAATTCACGTGACTTTTCTGAAGAAGAAAGCGGTTTAGGTGGAAAATAAAAATAAAAATATTTGTCTGCAGAATATGTTTAACAAAATTTGAAAACTAGACATCTAATTAAAAGAGATACCTTAAGTCGAGACACACAGATGTGCTACTCTTGACAGCGAATTTCGTTGAGCCAGATAAACTTATGACATTCTGAAAACGATAAAAAAACGTTATTATGAAAATACGTAGTTGATTCTTTACGTCGTAATTCTTACCTTAAATTCAATAGTTATTTTTAAGTTCAAATTGGAACTATCTTGAATATCTGATTCGGATACTATATATTGGAGCAGAGATATCCAACTTGCAAGTCCTCAAGCGGCCCTTCATTACTCGGCCGATCCACACCTGTCTTCCCCGTATTGTTGATCCCGGCACTTTGCCCAGCTGCACTGAAGCAGGGCAGGGGGGATGGAACCATGCGTGACATCAGGCATGCAAAAATCAACGGGCTGACATTGGGATGATTTTGAATTTTGGATTATTAAAAACAAATTCTTAAATCTAAACTTGAACCTATTTTGACATTAAGGGGGAGTAAACTCCGACAGGGTGCAAGTGCTAGGTGTGCTATGTTCTCGCTCGATAAGGATGCAAATGATTTTAACTTTTGACTCAAAACCTTTCGCGGGCCACAATAACTGGCACCTCGGACTGCCACTTGGACAACCCTGAACCAGTTTTTATTATAAAATCAAATTCTAAATTCTCTAAATTTAATTTTTTTTTAAATCCTCTTCAGAGGTTTAGTCCGACAGATATTGAATTAATGAGAGAATGAAAATATATTTATTAATAAATATATTAATTAAATATTTGAGTACAGAAACAGTAAATTCTAATTGATACGAAGTTAAAATATAAACAAGTTACATAAAATAAGTAATAGTATGACTCTGTTGTCAGAATGAACAGAAACCAGAAGTTAGAATTCACATTAGAAAATTTGAATGGATATCTTCTCTGTGTAATTTCCTTTTAACCTACTCATCTTAGGGGTTACTTCCTGTCGACTCAAATCGATCCCATTGCAGCAATGAAATGCGTGCATTTCACGGAATTCAGCTTCTTGGTCGATGTCGTATGTACTGTTACTTGAATTCGAGAAGATCGGGGCGCCGAGTGCGTTGAACCGCCTGAAAAACCGGTCCCCCGCCCGCGGTCCCTGCCAC